TAACATGAATTTCTGTTAATATCTAGTAGTAGCCTATGTCTATTATGGCTATTAGGAGAGCGTAAGCTCGCAAATGGCCAACGCAACATGTCCACGACAACAACACGTCTCATTCAGTTTCTCTCATCTTCCCTCTCTGCCCTCTTCCCATCTCTTCCACCGGGCTCTCCCGTCGTCCTTTTGCCCCTCTTCGCCCGTGGGACTGATACCTAGTCTCCCGCCAAGAAGTAAAAAAATGGGAACCCCGAGGCTAGACGGCTATTTTGCCATTCGGACTATATATATCCGGGGCCGATTGAGCCGCAGAGGTGTTCCGAGAATTGCTTTGTGTCCGGATGTTGATACTGGCCATCTTAATTAGCTCTTGGCACCGTCTCACGCTCATAACACGATGGTTTAAAGAAAAGAAAAAGAAAAGAAAAAGAGAGAGAGAGAGAGAGGGAAAAAGCCAAAAAGGGGTGCAAAGATTATTTTTTCTTTTCCAAAGGCTGTCTATCACTAGCTCTCACTCTCCCTTGATTCCCATATCTCCTGTTTCTCCATGTAACCTCACCCCCCTCATTCGTCCACACTCTGCCGCCGATCTCGCCAATCAAAATATTCTACAAGGTCACCGGGGGAGAATCTATCAGAATGTTGAAACGGACGCACCTCTTAAAACACACAGAGATCGGTCTTCTTCCTAGCTACTAATAATAGCAGCTCCGTACACAGGCAAGGTAACTGCTGACTATAGGCCTCTTCGCCGTATGTGAAAGCAATCGATGCGTGATAGGACAGTCGAATTTGAAACTCATTACAACACCAGTTTATTCGTTCTATATCGTATAAATCTACATCTAAAAAGCGTGGAGCCGTGATAGCCACCCCCCATCGTGTAAACTCATTCAGGAAGTAACTATTCCTCGAGACTCGTCTTTCTATCCAAGTCCCAAGAAATCCCGTAGGTCTCGTCTCTTGATTAAATCATGCAGATATCTTTTAAAAAAAAAGGGAGTTGTGCAAACTCGCGCGCAGGCAGGCAAGCACAAAGCAAGAAGATTGTAGAATAAATGTCAACCAAGCAGGGAAAAAAAAAACGCCAAAGCACCAAAAAAATGATTCAAAGGTCATGAGGAGTCAGCCACTGCTCTGCCAGAATGGCGCTGCAAAGGGGGGAATACAGAGGCCACCAACATCTAGACTCAGACAACACTCATCTCTCCTCCTTTTTTCTTTGTTCTCAAAGCTCTCTCAATAGACATTATCACCTTTATTTCGCATTCCTCTTGAATGCCAAGAGATCTGCCAAGCTTGACAGGGGAGAGCCGTGCTGTAAGAAGTCATGAGCCAGCAGCTCATCTGCGGAAGCTCTGCTCTTGACGTCGACACATAAGCAGACAGAAAGGAAGGCCTTGAGCTCTTTGCTGAGCTTCTCGGGCTTCTTGAGACGCGGCGTTCCGTTGGTGGCGATGAGATACAGAGCCTTCAGTGGCTCCTCGTTCAGGTATGGCGGCTCAGACTCAATCATTTCAATCGCCATGATACCCAGAGACCAAATATCAACCTTGGGGCCATACTCCTTCTGCTTGACAACTTCTGGTGCCATCCAGTAGGGTGTTCCCACCATGGTCGCTCTCTTGGACTTGGCCTCCGTCAACTTGGCACAGAAACCGAAATCGGCTGCGCAATTGTTAGCAAGGTTATTCCCCCCCCTCTGTGCGACTGAAAGATGCAAAGAAAGTGACTTACTAATCTTAACATTTCCTCGGGCATCCAACAAGACATTGTCGCTCTTAATGTCTCGGTGGATAATGCTCTGGGCGTGAAGATGTTGCAAGCCTTGGCAAGTCTATATCCGTGGTCAATATCATCACCAACCGCAAAGGGATTAAAGCAGGAAACACTTACCTCATGGCAGATGGTGGAAATCTGCTCCTCTGTTATTGAAGGGTTGTTATCAATGACATCAGTCAGGGCACCTCCCTCCATGAATTCCATAACGACCCAAAGTTCGGCGTTGTTGTTTCGGAGGAAAGCATCGAGGAAGTTGACAATGTTCTTGTGACGGTTGTCCTTCATGACCATAATCTCGTTCACAATCAGCTCCTTTCTTGGCTGGTGAGCAAGGTCCATCTGCTTAATGGCAACTTGTGCTCTGGGTCCTTGTTGACGGAGGAAGTCGCGAGCAATTCCCACAGCAGTGTCTTTGATCTTGGCAACATATACCGAGCCAGAGGCACCCTGTCCGATCTTCTTCTGTTTCGAGTAGGAGAGGTTGGGGTCTTCCTTTGAGACAGCTTCCTTCAACTTCGCCATGACTTCATTTTCTGACATGGTTGACATGCGTACATCTTGCTTGCGCTCAGCAGGAGTCTGCTTGGGGGGTGCTGGCTCAGCCGGCTTGGGCTCGCTCTGTGCCTGGTTCTGGTTGACCTTGGAAACATTAAGCGGCTTGACAGGGGCAGGCATGCGAGCAGCTTGAGGCTGAGGCTGGGGTTGTCTCTGTTGGGTTGCTGAGGCGGGAGCTCGCGAGCTAGGGCTCTCGTTACGCTGCGGTGCCGGTGCTCTGGGCAGAGGAGTTGAGCCAGATTGCGGAACAACAGGAGGCCGTCCAGCACCTGCAGTCGGCGGTGAAGGTGCCGGACGTTGAGCCTTCAGAGCACTAATCTGCTGAGGAGGTTTAGGTGCTGGCGGAGCTGCCCTAGACGGGTTGAATCGATCGGCGCCACCATAGCCACCACCACCACCAATCTCTTGCTGGGCCATGGGAACCTTGGTCTTTGGAAGAGAGGCGTTGTATTCCTCCATCTCTCGTCGCTCTCGCTCCTCTTGCTCGCGCTGTCGTCTTCTCTGCTCCTCTCTTGCGGCATCGGCTGCTGACGTGTAGGTTGGCGATGAGTTTTGCATCTGTTGGCCCGGGCCGGGGCGTCTCTGGCCATTGGGGCTGTACTGGGAGCTGCTGCTGCCGGGAGGAGGCGGACGAGGAGGCGCAACGCCATTGCCGCCACCGCCCATGCCCATCGGCTTGTTCTGCATGGCTCCTGGGGGCGCATTGCCAAAGGGGTCATCAGACTTCTTGGCAAGATCAGTATAAAAGTCCAAGACTTCAAAAACGGCCTGAGGATTACGTTCATAGTCTTCCTTGGTAATGGCCGAAGAATTGAGCAGCTTGGACCATTCTGGCGGCAAGCCAACGAACTCTCCGGTCTGCGGGTCAAAGCCGACGTGGACGGCGTGCGCGAAGTTGGTCGGGTTGCTCACGCCGCCCATGCCAGGGCAAGCACCGTATATGAAATCGATCCACTCGTACAAATCGTCTTCAGACTTGACCTTGATGTGAAGCGCCTTGTCGCCCTGGCCATCGTCATCACCAGGGCTGTTGGATGATCCGTCTGCCCTCCGCTTGATCTCGAAGATGGTGCCTGCTGCCTCGACTCTGCCGACGTTGACGACGTCTTTCAGATGGAGGCTGTATGCCACCTTGCCACCTTCTGTCTTATGGAAATCGATGGCCTCCTTACGGAGAATCAAGTACTTGTTCTTCCAAGGCTGGAATACGTTCCTATTCTCCTTGACCGAGGCCCATCCCTCCTTTCTAACAGCGACGCCGCCCATACCGTCTGTGTTATTGGTCTGCTGGCGAGCAATGGGCAGAGATATCGTAGAGCCGGTGTATGTAGAGGTCGCGGTGCTGCGAATTGGAGAGATTGCCATGTTCGCCATGCTGCCTGGGAGATTCGGGTTAGGAGTCAAGTTGAGACGCGGTCTGTTGTCGGGAGGCTGGGGTGCAGGGCCAGGATTCATAAACTGGTTGGCCGAGTAGATACTAAGCGCATATATGAATCAGCATAAAGTCCGTGGTCGACGAGATGTGTTGGCATCGAGTGGTGGTGGCAGCACCACTGAGGTTGACGAGGAGAGCGGATAGGGTCAATGTGAAAAGGGTCAAATTGTAGATTATACTTATGAAGGGGGGTGTTTTAACTTGAGTGACAGGGCCCTTCCAGGGTGATACCGCCACTCAAGAAGCATACCCATACATAAGCACTTGGCGGTATGGACAATCCGCCGCCAATCCCAGTACTTGGGTCGTCGAAGAGGGGGGTGGATGCCTTTTCCCAACTGCCATCTCGTTGGCCAGCCCTAGGCTGTCCCAGCGCGCTTATGGAGACGTCTCGCCCATGACGATACGGAAGTGGTATGCTTAGTTGACAACGTACCTATGCTGAGCCATACTGAATTATGAAAGGAGAAGGGGGGGAAAGCGGCTGCGGGGATGGCCTGGGTATCGTGTTTTAATGTGCCCTCTCTAGCCGGTAGGTATCTTTCTGTGCTTTAATCCAGAGCAGTACGTAAAGTATTAAGATATGAAAAGGAACAAGCCTCTACCCTGTCGATAGAGCAGAGAAATTGATCGAAGATTGGCGAGGAATTAGGCCGCCTCTCGACAACGACAACGAACGCGAGCCAGCTTAGCACCGCTGAGGCGGGATGGAAGAGAGCGACAAGAGAGAGTGATGAAACAGCAGACAAAGCGACAGTCGATCGAGCGCACAGGAGAAAACGCCCAATGCGCCAATGTTGGTCAAATCCAAGCAGGTCGGTGGGCAGAGGTGGGGATTCTCACGCGCGTGCAGATGCAGCTGAAGGCTTGTCTCGTCGGTCAGGGCGTGGTCCAGCTCAGAGCACCCGGACGGAATGCGGAGTTGCAGGCGAGTCAATTGGCTGTCCTTGGACGAGGAGCTGCGCGACTAGCCCAGCTAACGCAGACGATGAGTGTTCTGAGACGCCGCAAGGCCTGTCAAAAAACGAAAGAAGGAAAAAAAAAAAAAGGAAGCGAGGACGCACGGCGAGAGAAGCGAGGATGGGTGGTAGGAAGGAGATTTGAGGCGACACGAACAGCTGGGGTCGCGCCTTGACGGGCACAGCGCCGGCCTCGACCACTCAGCGTCAAGGCCGCCTCTGGTACAGGTAACTGCCGCCGCTGCTACAGCGCTGCGCAAGCTTCCACCCGCTAGCTCTGGGCTCTGGCTGATGCCGCGGGCGGCTGCGGCTGCTGCAGTATGCTAATACCGTTACTGCAGCTGCTGGAGCCTCTGCATTATGCATAGGGGGGGTCAAGGCGCTGGGGCGACGGTACCTGGCAGCACGACTGGGGGGGACGACGGGGTACGCGCTGGGCCGCCCAGCGCACTATGGCCGGTGAGGTAGCGCGTCCTCGTTCGGGACGCCTCACCGTCGTACCTCGCAAAGTCGCGGGCCATGGAGAAACAGCTGTGTGGGGAAGGTCGCGACGAGGCCCAGCGCGGAAGGCCGCACCCGCCACTGGCCAGAAAAGGTCGAGCCCAAAAGGTGGGCGAGGTGGGGGGCCCAGCAGCGCTGCAGGTGGATTTGCCGCCGCCGGGCGAACCCCTGAGGATGCTGCCCATTAGGGGATTCGAGGAGGCTCCAGGGGCTGCTAGTGGTGGCTGCAAGCACTAGGCCCTAACATGGCTCTGTCGTCCGGTGCTCACCTGAAATCAGTGTTACAGACAGACAGCCGGAGCGGGACACAAGGACCAGCAATTTATCGTTGATGAATCCATCGCGGCAGCTAGGCGTCGGGATGCTTGTAAATTATCGGTAGCAATCTCGCCATCTCGCCGTGCAGATTGATATTGATAGGTGGCGGCGTGGATTTGCGCGGTCCATTCAGATACTGCCTTGACCGCGTTGCTCGTTCATTCGCCCGCCTCTTTGGCTGAGGGGAAGCCATTATATGGAGTAGATTTTCTTGATCTTCAGGAGCGTCGCAGATGGTCGCCCCTACAGACGCTTCACACAGACAAACACCCCTCCTCCCCTCGGATGGCTTGTCTCTGCGCATCCCAAATCACGTTGTGTTTCACAGTCACAGGCCCAAAGGGAGAGATCCGCAACCAACGCGGGGAGAGGCCACAAGAAGCGATTTCAGTGCTTTGCACAGACCCCGAACCCCGTGTGATACAAGTGTGCGAAGTGAACTCCATTGAGAAAAATTTGGTTCTTTCGGAAAACGCGCTCCTCAGGCTAACAATATGGAGTAGCTCGAGCGGCAACAAACTCGCCTGTCAGCCGGGGCAAAACCCATCCTCATCATCAGATGTTTCATGCGTCCCGCAAGGCCTCCTTGAAGCCGGGTAAATAAAGTTTTTTGACAAATACACGTGTAATATCGTCATATAGTAGACAAGGCTACATGCAACTTGGGCAAATCCTCGCAGGTCGCAAAACAGCTTTGTCCTCATTCTTCCCTTGCTCGGCCGTGCTATGACCGCCGACGATCATATCAAAGTGTGTCACTGCTTGACAGAAGGGTGGGAAAAGGGGGGAACGACGCAGCGAGTCAGCCTGTTGAAATGATATTGGATCCAACCCTTTTCCAACCAAGGCGGTCGATAAAACGCAAGACTAATCCACTAGGGGCAGTCCTTTTCACGCCGCTTGATGACATTCGACTCCACGCGATAGGCTATTGGTACAACAACAGCTGCAATCCTGGCTGCTAAAAAAAAAAGAAAAAAAGAAAGAAAACAAAAAAAAGGTTAAGGATGCGCATGAAATAGGCTCATGAGGCTGCCAAGAAAAATAAAATAGATCTGCAGTACGAGTGCCACATCACTTCCTAATATGCGTACAAAGCAAAAGAGCGCGCGCGCGCGAAAACGGTCCCTCCCATGAAGACTCTATGCAAGTCAAGTCAATCCTGCGCATGCAGGGTTCATCGACTTGACGAAATGGAGCGACAAGGATTCGACGTCAAGCCATGCGGCTCTAGCGCAGCTTGAATTCAACTTGCCTCTGCCTTTATTATACAACCCTAGCTTTTCGCTTTTCGTAGCTGCAAGTAGATTCTATAGGGTAGGTGCATCAATTGTGTTGTATGACGATGGGCGTGTTGTGAACATCCAATGCTATTTAAACACTTTTTTTTTTTTGGTCTCTTTGATTCTTTTTTATCTTGGACGCTTATAACAGGCTATCCGTATATAACCCAACTCTTTGCTCTATGTGTTTCCCACAACTTTTCATCAAATGGAGTAACCGTCTCAGCATTCCAAAAATGGCCAACCACATGCCTGTACTCTTTGTCTCTTTTTGCTAAAAAATCGGCATCTAGATTTAGTTTTCTATCATCTATCGAACGGGAACATCAACCTCCTGTCCCTGGAATTTGGGAAGCTCAGACTCAATCTGGGCCCAGGTCTTGCTGCCATTAACCAACGACTGGATGGCCTCCAGGATCTTAGCCTCCTCAGCTCGGACCTGGGTGGTCGAATCACGATCTCTCAGCGTAATGGTGCCGTCCTGGAGGGTCTGGAAGTCGACAGTGATGCCGAGCGGTGTTCCGAGCTCGTCGTTTCGACTGTATCGCTTGCCGATACTGGCGGATGAGTCGTCTACGCGGCTGGAGACGCCAAGGCTTCGCAGCTTCTGAGACAGCTTCTTGACGGTAGGCTTGAACTGCGGGTTGGATGACAGAGGAACCAGGAGAACCTTTGTCGGGGCCACAGTGGGAGGGAAAGATAGAACCTGCAAAGCGAATCCATTAGTGAGTCTTTACTCCAACAATAATTCACGTAAACACAGTAAGAGAAAAGACTTACACCACGAGCTTCATCACCGCCATCGCTGCCACGGGTCCAGAAGTTGTGCTCAATGAGAGAGTAGAGAATACGGCCGATACCGAAAGATGGCTCGATAACATTGGGAGTGTATTCACGAGTGTTCTCCACCCTCTTGCGGAACTCAATAGCGACAGAGTCCTTGTCGATGGTAGCCTTGCCACCGGCAATGCCCTCAACGTCCAGGACAATCTTGCCATTCTCAGCCAGCTCCTTGGACAGCTTCTCGCGCTGCTCTTGTGAAGTAGCCTCCAAGGCAGTCTCTACGGTCTTGGCATCCTTCTTGAACAGAGGTCCAAACTTCTTCTTCTGGATATCGACCTGCCACTCCTCAATGACCTTGGGCTCATCAAGTCGCTCACGGACGACCAGAGGAGCGCCAGTCTTCTTGGCGTGAACTGACAAGTCGTATGCGCTACGATCAGCACATCCGACGCACTCCACCCAGCCAGTTGAGGTCAACAGCTCTGCATCCCAGCAGTCAGTGGCATAGTGGGCCATTTCGTTGGCCATGTGCTGTCGGAATCGCATCTTGGACTGATCAACACCAATCTTCTCCAGGAAGAGGTGGATACGAGCAAGGAAGTATCCAAGAGTCTCGTTGTCGACAACACCGTCCTTGACGGCCTGGCCAATGGTAATCTTTTGAGTGTGGGTCTTTCCGGAGAGCTGGACGTGGCGATCCAGCAGAACCATCTCGACGTTCTCGACCTCGTGGAAGCGGCTGTGCTTCTTGCCACCCTCAGGGTCGACAAAGTGCTCAATCTCAGCCATCAGGAACTCTCGCACACGCAAGAGACCGGCACGGGGCGAAATCTCGTTTCTGTATGACTTTCCGATGGAGGCCGAGGCAAAGGGCATTTGGGACTGGTTGAATTCGAGGAGCTTGGCAAAGTTGAGGAACTGTCCCTGGGCAGTCTCGGGACGGAGGTAGCCAGCGAGGTTGCTGCTGGGGCCAATGGATGTCTGGAACATCAGGTTGAAGGCAACGGGGTCCGATGGAAGGACACCAGTCTCGGGGTTCTTGAGGTCATACTTCTTGATGAGCTCGCCGAGTTCAGGGCCGTCATAGTTGTCAATCTTGGCAAGCACCTCCTCGTACTCCTGGACAACAGCATCGTCCAGCTTGACGGCGGCGGCAGTCTTGGCCTTCTTCTTCTTCTTGGGGTCGACCTCCTTCTCCTCTATTTTTTGGCCACGGGCCTCTTTGTCGCCCTTGAGACGAGCCTCGAGGATGGCCTCCACAAAGTGATCGGCTCGCAGAATCTCGCCGTTCTTGGGGTCTTTGCACATCCAGTCGGCAAATTTATCGACGTGGCCACTGGTCTTGAGAACATCATGGGGAGTCAGCGCAGTGCAGTCGACTTCCAGCATGTCCTCCTCAAGGACAAAGTGTTTCCTCCACAGATCGATAATGTTGGCTTGAAGAGCGCAGCCTGGCGGGCCGTAGTCGTAGAGACCACCAACTCCTCCGTAGATCTCAAAGGAGGGGGTGTAGAACATGCGCCGTCGCAGCATGGCATCGAGGACCACCTTGTCGAGGGGCTGGCCCTTGAGCGTCGTAGCGGATGAAGACATGGCGCCGGTCTTGGGGGGATTCTGCGGCTTGAGAGGCTGGAATGCGCAAAGCTTTCGCGAAACAGAAAAGTTGCGACGACTGATCGCTGCAGCAGGCCGGGTCACACGCGGGGCAAATGTGAGGCGGGCGAGAGTTGCTGGAGAGGGGAGCGGCAGACGGATTGGCTTCATCCACCAGGGTTTTTAAGTTGGTCGAGGATGAGGGCGCGAGTCGAGTCACAAAAACTCAGGCCGCACTGGTTTCCTCTGGCTAGGTATGGTGGGGTTGGGCAGAAAAGAACTTGGAGAAACATCTAGACAAAAGTTGTGTGCGCCGCCTGTGACTCCAGCCGGCCAGAGGCCCACCAAAGATCTGTAGTGGCCGATTGACTCTACAGCGCCCGGCTTCGGCCGCCCCTCAGTGCCCTTGCACGTCAGCCTATAGCGGCAGCGACCCTGTGCTGCGGCGGGGCAGACCGTTTGACTCCAGCCTTACGTGTAATCTGCATGTAGGTAACAGGTAGGCCTAGTAAGTACAAGGTTCGAGTGGCCTGCTGGTTTTTATATGTCCTAGGAAATAAAACGAGTCGCATTATTATCCAGAAAGAAAATTATCGAGATATAATCATCTTGTTTCCAAATCAAATTCTGCTAAACCCCTCGTTGAGTGCAAGGGCCTACATATAAAAGTAGAGTAGGTTGAAATATCAAATGCTATGCATCTACAAACCTGTCCCTAATTCCTGACGATTGAAACACCATTCAAATATTCTTTTGTGTCTTTCATCAAACTCGTATATCCGTCTTTAAAAATCCTCATGATAGCCCCCTTTATCAGCTCAACCTCAGCGCAGCTCTCTTGTTGGAGTCGCAGACCTGCTTTCTGCCCTAAAAATGCTAATATGAGAGCGATGGGCCACATACTCGCTATCCGCATAGCCCAGAATGCCTCTAATTTCCGTGCTTTGATGGCCCAAGATTCTCGAGATTTCGGGCGCGGCATAGTTGACGAGAGCTCGTCCGATTTCTTGTCTCACGCCTTCCCAGCGCTTTCCGTCTGGGCCCGGGTTGGATTTTCGGGTGACGACGACAAGCCGGACGACTTCTTGCTGGGCAAAGTTGCCCTCGACATCTACCACGCCAACGGGTAGTAAACCGGCCTTGGTAAGAAGGGCCTTGTGGGCACCTTCGTCGATGTATAGTGTGCCATGGGGATTCGGAGTGTGGAGGAGCCAAAAATGGCGATCCCGAATTGGATCGTTTGAAGCCAAAAATCTCGTGTGTAATGGCGGAGCTGGCTTCCCTTCTTTATTTTCCGATGCGGCCAGGAGGTTTAGCGACATGGATGATGCCGATCTCGATGGCTGGAGGTAACGAACAATGTTCAAGACGTTTCCGGGATTCGATGACCTGGTGATGATTGTCGTTACACCCGCCGACGTCCCGAGTCGTGCGGCGATGATCTTTGTACTCATACCTCCTGTGCCTAGGGCCGACCCAGCGCTTGAGACTATTTTTATTATAACTTAGTGAGATATCCTTGGCGAATTTATGAAAGTACGACATACCATCTGCCTCAAGGGCTGAAATATCTTCCACAATTTCAATGGGTTTAGCATCGGGATGACTTCTCGGGTTCTTATCGTATAAACAATCGACATCTGTCATGAGGAACAAGAGGTCTGCGTGTATCATAGCCGCTGTAATCGCTGAAAGGGTATCATTATCGCCAAATTTGATTTCGGAAACTGCCAGGGTGTCGTTTTCGTTTACAATTGGGATGACTCCCATGTCTAATAACTCGTTGAATGTGCTCTGAGCATTGAGATATCGTGTTCGCTAAGCAAGAAAAAAAGCATTGATCATGATTAGCTCAAAATACCACTCCGGATTGATTGTCATGAATCATACATCAGCAATATCATTTCGTGTGAGCAGAATCTGTGCCACAGGCTGCGCCAGGTGGGCAAACAAGCTGTCCCAGAGACTAATCAGCCGGCACTGACCGATTGCTGCCAAGGCCTATGGATGGCGCACCAATGTTAGAATGTCAAGCTGAGATTGGGCCTGCAACGGAGCAAACTTGCCTGTAATTGAGCCAGATGCTTTGGACGTTTGGCTACGTCCATTCGTCGAAGGCCGACACCAATGGCTCCTGAAGAGACAATGACCACTCTATGGCCATCCTTTCGCAGCTTGACGGCCGTGTCCACAATCAGGGTCAAGATTGGCAGCAGAGGCTCGTGAGTTGTTTCGTCGACAATTGAGCTCGTGCCTTTATTCACGGCCGTGTTAGAGAGAAGTGCCTTTCTACATTGCTCAGCGTGCAAATTCATGTTTCGCACTCACCCAGCTTGATAACAACAGTCAAAGGCTTTGACTTCCTCATAGCCGATAGGCCGTCGTCTTGTAAGAAGGGAAGATGCAAATGTTAGCCAATTGAGCTAGCACATAAACTTGAATATGAAAAAGGAAAAAAAAAAACAAAGGTAGCAGACGAAAAGTACGAATCTGAAGAGGAAATAAAAGGGAGGGCGAGCAAGCGTCGTGAAATATAAATACAAATGCAGCTGGGCGTCTTGGACATCCACCGCTGTCAACGCAATGAGACACAAAATCCGTCATTTGGCTTACTCGGAGTGATATCGCCAGACATCTTTGCCAGCTCCCCTGTCACGATCTATGCGATGGTAGCTCTATTCGACGAAGCTAATTGGCTTCAGAAAATTTCCCGGTCAGTTCATTGAATTGAGAGTTGGGACATCCGGTGGGATGAAAGCCGCATATGTAGAAGGGATCGTCACTCAATCGCAGAGGCGCGCCCTTTCTAGTTGTTTCAATCCGAATAGTTCCCTTGCAGTCATGCTCCGTCCCGCTTTTCGGAGCAGCCCAAGATCCAAATTTGGAGTTTTCCCTCTTACAGCTTACGATAAGATAAGCTAGGCCATCAACGGAGCAGAATGGCTCTCCTAGTGAGAAAAACCACTCTCACCGCCCTGCACTTTGTCGATTCTATGCGGCAGAATTATGTACTAGCACTACGAACGACGAGAGCTTGTATCAAGTGAGGCACTACCATCACCTAATCCAATACATTCCCCCATCCAATCCGTGCCACTACGCATACTACGAGAAAACAGGGAGACGACGTTGTAGACGGCCCTGAATTGACATACCTTTTTGTTATCAGTAGACACACCTCGCAGCCATGGCCCCCGGCGCAGCGCCAACCCCATCAGCTCCGGCTGGTGATTCCGCGATACCGAAACCACCCAAAGAAGTCGTCAACGACCCAGCCCGAACCGGTTTCGACCCGCAGATGAAATGGTGGATGAACTATTTCCGAATTCTTTCCGGCCAGATGACCCCCGAGGGCCTGTTCCACTACCGTGAATGGCGGTACAAAGTCCACGAGGAGCGAGACTGCAAGCGATGCGACGAGTACCGCGACTGGCTGTTCACATACTCGCCCGTTGTACGCTTCCTGTCCGGGAAGATCAAAGACTTGAACGGAAATCTGGATGCCTCAAACGTTTTATGTCGACGGTGTCCCGCGCGGCTGGAAGAGGATGGGCAGGTGCACCGACAGTCCGGAGGGTTCAGCCCGAACCACGGCATCCTGATTTGCGCAAACGAGATCCGCGATCGCAAACACTTGGAAGACACTCTAGCGCATGAAATGGTGCATGCGTGGGACCATCTGCGATGGAAAGTGGACTGGATGGGAGATAAAGATTTGAAGCATGCTGCATGCACGGAGGTCAGTTCTTTATACGCGAAAGATATTTGTGCCGGGGAATGAGAGCCGTCAATCGGCGAATTGGCCTGTGGCTAACGTTAGTCAAAACTACAGATTCGCGCATCAATGCTCAGTGGAGAATGTCGTTGGACGAGAGAAGCCTTAACCCGAGGCAACTGGTCTTTAACCCAACAGTTTCAGAACTGCGTTCGCGCAAGAGCCATCAGATCCGTCATGGCTCGACCGAGGTGTAAAGACGATGTACAAGCGACCAAAGTGGTCAATGAAGTCTGGGACTCATGTTTCTCAGATACCAGGCCTTTTGATGAGGTATATAGGTAAATTCGAATGCCTTGTAAATATAGACTTTATGATGTACGATACCGTCTAGCTCTAGCGCAGCTCCGCTCATGACACTCAACTTTAACTCTCAATACTATTAAAAGATACCCCCAAAAACAAAACATTTCACTGAATCGCTAAACTGTTCCCAAGTAACCGTCCAAAGAATGGTGAAAAAAAAAAAAAAAAAAAAAAAAAAGGATGAAAACGCCCTTGACTCCTCTCTATGCAAGACAACATACCATTTCGAAAATTACAAAATCAACTCCAAGAACAATAAGGTCGTTAAAAAAGCGACAAAAGATTGCATATCTCGTATGCCTGGAAGATCAAGAGCTCTTCTCACGGTTGGCAGCTCTTTCACCCTTTACGCAGTGCTTGATGATCCAAGGGTGGTTCTGTACCTCATCAAGGGGGATTCTCTTCTCAGGGTCAAGAACCAAGAGCTTTGATTAACTTGTTAGCTGATTCGTTACTCTTCTTCATATCGGGAACTGATGACTTACTCTTTTGATAAGATCAGCAGCTTCGGCGCTAACAAATTTGGGAATTTGCATATCTGCACGAGCAATCCTTCGCTGCGTCATGACGGGAGTATCCTCAAAAGGAGCTTCGCCGACAAGAAATTCGTATGTCAACACACCCAGACTCCACAAGTCGACCTTTTCATTGTAGTAATTGTCCGAAGACCCAGGCTTGATCATCTCCGGGGGGAGATAGTCGAGCGTACCGCACAAGGTTTTGCGTCTATTGTTTGGGGCATGCACACTCCAGCCAAAGTCTGAAATCTTGATTTCTCCATGAATGCCGACGAGAATGTTCTCAGGCTTGATGTCGCGGTGGATAACGTGCTTTCTGTGAAGATATCGTAGTGCAGAGGCCATCTGGGCGACGTACTGAGCTGCTTTCCACTCTGGGAATTTGGTCTCCTTCCGCAAGTGCTTGTACAACTCTCCCTTGCCAGCAAACTCAAGAATCAGGAAGACCCGTTTGCTGTCGTGGAAATGGCCGTAAAGCTGTAAGATATTCGGATGTCGCAGGTTGCTCTGGATCTCGATTTCTCGCCTAACTTGCTTCTCGACACCGCCGCCGGCCTGCAGCTCACTTTTGTGCAGCACCTTCAGCGCGCAAATAAATCCGCTAGTCCGCTCTCTGGCAAGATATACTCGACCAAACTTGCCCTTGCCCAGTGGCCGCCCAATCTCAAACATTCCCAGATGGAATTGCTTGGGCATACTCGGCTGCTCCGTAAGAGCTACCTTGGTGTCATCGATCTCCTTCTCGGTAACGGTAACTTTCACCTTTTCCTTTTCTTTCTCACTTTCCCTTTCTTTCTCTCTATCCTCCTTCACCCGCGATGTGGTAGAAGGGAGAGGCTTTCTGACCGGTGGTGGTGAAGCGGGATTCATAGGTTTCCTAGGGACCGCTTGCGAAGGGAGAGCGGATGCAACAGCATTATTACTTTGCGACTGAAGTGCTACTTTGTAAAGGTTTGGCCGGTTAGTGCTTGATGCCGTTGTCACCTAGACTCATGTTAATCTTATTGAAAGCCAAGCAGTGAGCAGGATTGTCATCCTACCTTGGCCTTGGTATAGAGCTTCGAACTTTCGCCGACATCGTTCTCGTCTTGAACAGTCATGTGCTCGAACCGCGACTCCAGCACGCGCGTGGACATTTTGTTCGCCATATCTTGGTGACTCGGCTCTGTAGTAACAATTAAACAGGCGCCCTTCCTCGACGTTGAGTTATTCCTGATATCAGAGAGGAGAGTTCGTTGGACGGGGGCTGTGGCAGCAACGGGGCACTTCAGCTGCCGTTGTTGCGGTCTAACGTTGTTACGGCAACCGCACGTGCATACATAACTTCGCCTGACTAAGCTCCAACTGTCTGACAGGGAGCGGCAGATGAGATGTCTGAAGATGCATATACCAATTGTTTCTCAAATTTGGTTGCATTTTGAAA